ATAAGTTGGTTGGTCATTTGACCTAATCGATTAGGCTGAACCATTTTGAATTTGACCGATTCGCCGGTTTAATGGCGATTTCTCATACTAATTTTATGAATTTTAAATAATTAAAATTTTTTCTATTTACTAACTTTCATTTAACCATATAAAAATAAAACTTTAATTAATTTATGATTTATTTTATAATCCTACATGGGGAGAAGAAAAAAAGTAAAGTTTATTTCACTACATATATATTATATAAGGAAAATGAGATTTTTAGTGAGGAACCTTATGAGAGTTTCAATATCTCATACTAATTTTTTTTGATTTTCTTAATTTTAAACAATTAAGAAAATCTTCATTGCCTAACTTTTATTTGATAATTTCACATCGGGAGAAGAAGAAAAAAAATAAGATGTTTTACTCGTATAAAGTGCATCTTATACTCTCATCCCATTTAATATTGTAATGTTGTGCATGTTTCAATTTAATATAGTTTAAATTTTAAAAGTTTTAATTAATTAATTTTTGTGTAACTTGGTAGGTCTTTTGACCTAGCCGATTAGGTTAAATCATTTTTGATTTGATTGATTAAATCGCAGTTTTATCAATATATATTGATTAGATTTGTTTGATTCGAAATAAACTAAATACTGATTTGTTTAAAGATTAAAAGACTGAGATTGCTTGATTAAAAATAAACTTTCCGTCCAAATAATTGTTAACTTTTATTTTATAATCTCACATTAGAAAAAGAAGAAAAAAGTGAATTGTTTCACTTATATAAAGTGAATCTTAATAGTATAGTATTGTGTATACTCCAATTCAATACAGTTTAAATTTTAAAATTAAAATAACATTTAAAAGTTTTAATTGATTAATTTTTGAATAAGTTGGTTGGTCATTTGATCTAATCGATTAGGCTGAACCATTTTGGATTGACCGATTCGCCAGTTCAATCTCGATTTTTCATACTGATTTTATTAATTTTAAACAATTAAAAAAATTTCTATTGGCTAACTTACATATAACTATATAAAAATAGAGGGGAAATTATTAGAAAGTCCTATTTACCAATCTATTACTCCATCTGGTCCCACATTCATTCTGTTGCATTGGGAAGTCCTATTTAACATGTTTTGTAGACAATCAGGTCCCGTTTTAAATTTATATGATGTGTGTGTGGACGGATTTGGCCCTCTTTTGTTTTTCCTTTAGAGGTGTATATTGGGATGGAATGCATATTTTGTGGGATACGTTCCCTGTTCCACGTTTGGTAACTCGGCATCGTCAGATCGACGTGAACAATGGGTACAAGATGATCATTAATCCGGCAGGTCGGTGTACCACGTCGATGATCATCAATCCGGCAAGGCAGTCGGTGTACCATGTCGGTCAGAGAAGATCGAAACACCTACGTGTACATACACACACGGCTCTAACTGTCTTGGTGGGGTGAGATGTGGTGCCGGTGTTCTCTCTCTCTCTCTCTCTCTCTCTCTCTCTCTCTCTCTATTCATTGGAGAGTCTATTTATAGAAGCAGAGTCATGAGCAACTGCAATTTGTATTTTATTAATGTGGCTCGCTTCTCATCGTCTCTGTATAAAACACGTAACTACAGGACTCTCTCTCTTGGTCGGTGTCATTGAAGAGTCTTACTTCTTTTTCTTCTTCTTGTAGCTCCGAATCCTCTTCTCGGCGGTTTCACCTTTCTCAAACAAGAATTGATTTCAGGTTGGTTTAATTCGTCCCTCACTACTATGCTCAGACCTCGATTATCTCAAATTCTCTCTCTCTATTGGTTTCAATTTTTGTACTAATCAATGCTGAATTTTTTGATGTTAATGTCCACTTCTTCAAATCTGGGCAGACGACGATGATCTGAAAACACCATTTCAGATCTGGGTTCTGATTAGATTTGGCATTGGTGCATGTACGGTAAAGATCCATAGGGAGGTCCGCTGGAGATCAATGTTGCGGACTCCGCTACCGACGACGACCACAGCAGGAACCTCAGCATCCATTGTTGAAGATGTCAAGCTTCTGCTCGGAGTCCGCCACCAACGGCCACAACTCCCACACCTTTTCGATTTGTGAAGTGGGATACAGAGAACGTGACACACAAATGCTAGGTTCACGTCGAAACGTCACAACTGGCAATTGGGGAAAAAAGGGTCAAATTGTAGGGAAGTCGAAACGTGTCAAACTGTGTCAAATTAATTAGTTCCCAAAAAAAAAAAAAAAAAAAATCTCTAACTACTTGTGTTCACGTCACAACCCACGTCCCATGCTGTGAGTGTCACACACTCACTAAATTAAAAAATGTATTAGTGTACTTTTTTGATCAACGTGACACACAAACACACATTCACCTTCTCCCATAGAAACCCACACCAAATGTCAATCAATAATACTAGCAGTGGCAAAACTGTCAACAAACAAATTAAGGGACCACCTAGTCACCAAGAAAACATTCAGGACCTTATGGATTACAAGTCCACAAAATGGGATTTACTGGTCAATTCCCCAAAAATAAAATTGTAATTAGGTTATAATTTATTTTATAATCCCACATCGGGAGAAGAAGAAAAAACAAAGTTTATTTCACTTATATAAAGTAAATCTTATACTCTTTTTTAATATTATAGTATTGTGTGTAATTCAGTTCAAAATAATTTAAATTTAAAAAAAAAAACTCTAATTAGTCTGTAATATAATTGATTTTATAATCCCACATTAAGAGAATAAATAAAAAGTGAGTTGTTTCACTTATATAAAGAGAATCTTATATTCTCATTTAATATTATAGTGTTCTACATGTTTCAGTTAAAATCAGTTTAAATTTGAAAATAAAATTTGAAAGTTTTAAGTATTTAATTTTTATGTAAGTTAGTTGATCTTTTGACCTAGCCGATTATGCTAGAATCATTTTTTTGTTTGACTGATTCATTGGTTTAATTGCGATTTTGGCAGTTTTTTCCAAATATATTAGTTAGATTTGTTTGATTTGAAATAAACTAAAAATTGACTTAATTAAATGACTGATTGCTTGATTAGAAATAAACTTACCGCCCAAATAATTGTTAACTTTTATTTTATAATCTTACATCGAGTTTCACTTATATAAAATGAACCTTATGTTCCTATTTAATATTGTAGTGTTCGACATGTTTCAGTTCAAGACAGTTTAAATTTTAAAATTAAAATAATATTTAAAAATTTTAATTAATTAAATTTTTGTATAAGTTGGTTGGTTTTTTGACCTAACCTATTAAGCTGAACCATTTTTAGTTTAACTGATTTGCTGGTTTAATTGTGATCTTAACAGATTTATTAAAATATATTGGTTAGATTTGTTTGATTCGAAATAAACTAAAAATTGATCTAATTAAAGATTAAATGACTAATATTGTTTGATTAGAAATTAGCTTTCCGCTCGAATAATTGTTAATTTTTATTTTATACAATTCCATATCAGGAAAAGAAAGAAAAATTAAATTGTTTCAGTTATATAAACTAAGAAAAACGTTTGGTAACTCGAATTTGTGTGGTCTGAATGGATCAAATGTATCCAAATGACGCCGTTTTACCCTCAAAACGACATCGTTTTGAGACATTCGAACCATTCGGGGGCATGAAAATTCAAGCTAGCAAACATTGTTGATAAAGTAAATCTATGTTCCCATTGAATATTATAGTGTTGTGAATGTATCAGTTAAAAACAATTTAAATTTTTTAAAAAAATAAAATTAAAAAATGTTAATTAATTAATTTTTGTATAAATTGATTAGTCTTTTGACCAATTTTATCAATATATATTGTTTTATTTATAAAAAAATATGTTTAAGTTTTATGACAAATTTTAGGGGACTTACGTGTAGGTTCTAATAAATAAACTTATTGTTCAAGAGGTCTTATGTGACATTTTTAATTAAATACTATTAAAAATAGTCATTAATTGTTAATTTTCAGCAATAACACGAAAATTTTGTCACAAAAAATGTAACTAATTATAAGTTTTAGCGGCAGTTTAAAAAAATTGTCACAAAAAGTGTCACTAATTCACAACTTTTAGAGACAATTTAAAAAATTTGTCACAGAAAGTCACTAATTGTAAGTTTTAGCGACAATTTATAAAAATCATGATAAAAAAAGTCATTAATTGTTAATTTTTAGTGACATATGTAAAAAATCGTCACAAAAAAATTATTTTTTGTGATAATTTTACGAAGACTTATTTTCAATAGGACTCGATGAAAATTAAGTCCAATTATTAGAACCTATTTGATAGTTTACCCCAAATTTTAACATAGAATAAAAAAAAACAAAAAAATTAATAAAAAAAAATTATTTTTATTTTATCATAAATATATACATATATATTTTTTAATTTAGGCCTCGTTTGGGAACAGACTAATTTTAGTAATTTTTTGGCTATTTGGCTAAAAAGGTAGGTAAAAAAAACTTGTATGTTTGGGATGACTTTTTGACTAATTACGAAAAGATGTGCAAAAAGTAGAGAAAAAAGAGAATTTTTGACTTTTTGGTATGAGTTGTCGGCTTTTTGACTAATTTAGTAATTTTTGACTAATTAACTAAAAAAGTAAGTCCCCAAACGGGACCTTATTCTATTTTATTTTTATGTTTACCAATTACATTATGACAACTACAATATATATTCCAATAAAATAGCTAAAATTTAATCTATTTTAAATTATTTTTATATACCTTTTAAATAAATTTTATATTATTATTTAATTTTAAAAATATTTTTAATTATTTATTTAATCCGTGCATTGCACGGTTCGTATACTAATAAATTTAATATTAAAGTACATAGGAGTAAAAGTAAATTAACCATGACCTGTGACAAATTTTATTCACTTTCATTGCCATTGGTGGTTCTTTTAGCTATTAGAAAAACTTTACTAGCAATAACGCCACTTGCCGGTTAAGAGAGCTTATGTAGCCTGTCGGTTGCCACTCGCAGCCGGTCATTGCTCCCCTACACGTGTCCACTATTCTTTCAGAAGATCACCAAACAGAAAGAACCCAAGAGCTTGAAAATAGCCTAGAACTCTCTGCACTCTGTCTCTCCTCTCTCTCTCTCTCCCCTCTCTCTCAGATGCTCTGCAACGTTTTCGAGCTGATCGGAGCAACTTCGCCGCCACAACCCCAAAACGCCACAACTCAACCCTAACCCAACAAATTTCGGGCCAATTTTGGCGGAAAATACAACAATTTTGTGGCTGTGATGTTGGATATTTCGGAAAAATCTTCTTTGGAAGCCCTCCAACCCCTTAAAAAACACAAAACCCCAGACTTATTAGAACGCAAGAACTCCTTCAACTCAATCCAACCGTATCTCTCTCTACAACACCCTCGCACATGGCTCATCCTCTCTGTTTTCTTGCTCCAAATCTTCCTCCTCCTCATGGCTCGCTCTCTCCCCATCTCCGTCTCTCGCCGCCTCCACCACTTCCCTTCTCCCTCAACCTCCGCCGCCGCCGACATTCAGTGTAAGTCAGGTATGGTCTATGTATACCCACTCCCACCTGTTTTCAACACCGAATTGTTACAAAAATGCAATGAATTGAACCCATGGGTGTCGAGATGCGATGCATTTTCGAACGATGGGTTTGGCCGGAAAGCCACTGAACTTGCTGGAATCATGCCGGAAAATCTGACCCGCGCGTGGTTCTGGACGGACCAGTTTTCGTCGGAGATTATATACCACAATCGGATTATGAACTACCGGTGCAGAACCACCGATCCAGAATCGGCTACGGCGTTCTACATACCCTTCTACGCTGGACTTGCAGTTGGGAAGTACTTGTGGAAGAATTACAGCGCACAGGACCGTGATCGGCACTGCCAGATGATGTTGGGGTGGGTCCAGAACCAGACGTACTGGAACAGATCCAACGGCTGGGATCACTTCATCACGATGGGTCGCATCACTTGGGACTTCCGGCGCTCCAACGACGACGACTGGGGCTCCAGCTGCATCTACTTGCCGTTGATGAGAAACATTACCCGCCTTCTGATCGAGAGAAATCAGTGGGACTACTTCGATGTCGGTGTGCCCTACCCCACCGGATTCCACCCCAGTACCCACTCCGACGTGAGTACGTGGCAGGACTTCGCCCGAACACGCTACCGGTCCACCCTCTTCTGCTTCGCCGGCGCGACACGTGGCTTTATCAAGAACGATTTTCGAGGACTGTTACTGAGCCAGTGCTACAAGGAGTCCGGGTCCGGGTCTTGTCGGGTGGTGGACTGTGGCGGGTCGAAGTGCTCCAACGGGTCGTCGGCGATTCTGGAGACGTTTCTGAACTCGGACTTCTGTCTGCAGCCGAGAGGGGATAGCTTCACCCGACGGTCCATATTCGACTGCATGGTGGCCGGTTCGATCCCGGTTTTCTTCTGGAAACGAACCGCTTACTATCAGTACGAGTGGTTCTTGCCGAGCGAACCGGGGAGCTACTCGGTTTTCATAGACCGGAATGCGGTGAAGAATGGTACGTCGATAAGAGGGGAGCTTGAGAAAATCAGCAGGGAAGAGGTGAGGAAGATGAGAGACAAAGTGATTGAATATATACCCAATATTGTTTATGCAAAGCAACCCATTGAGGGATTGGTGGGTGTAAGAGATGCTTTTGATATTGCCATTGATGGTGTGTTGAGGAGGATCAAGGAGCAGGAGGGAGGTTATAAGTGGTAAATAATATTAATAGGAGCAATGCTACGCATCTCGAATTCATCTTAGTTATCTTAGTTTGAATGGCTCGAATTTTTGTTCATTAGTCGTTCAACCGGTCATTTGACAAAAAGGCTAACAGCTATGGTTGGCAAAGTGACAAACGTGACTGTCAGTCTTTTTGTCAGACGATTGGTGAATAAAAATTCGAACCGTTCGAGTCAAAGTGAATTCGAGACACTAAGGATTACACTATTAATAGCTCTCTCTCTCACTCTCTGTCTATATATATATAGATTACTACTAAATTTTGTGGTGTATACATGATGAGGTAATTACATACTATTTATTTATGATGGGGGAGGAATTGAGTCAGGGCTGTTGGGCAGGGGTGGCTTGAAATGGTAAAGAAAGAAAGCGGTAATGGTGTAGGGGATTGGATGATTGAGAGAGGCTTTGAATTTGATGACCAGGTTAGGTGCTATTGTTGTGTATATAAGGCGGCAATTGAATTTCATTACAAAATGCAATAAATAAATAATAGATGATATATTCCTTTTGTTTATTTATCTGTATAGCAATACACATGTTTCAAATTTCCGAACTTCGATTGTTTTACTGAACGTGTTTCTGTTGTTATCTTGCCATATATCACAGCCAGAGGGTACATACAGTTTTGATGTAATCTTATTTTTTGTTCACCTAATTCGCTGACTATTTCTGTTTTTTGGTTGGGGTTGTTTAAATAGCCTAAATATTTTTCAGCCGCTGTTTTTTTTCTCACTCCTAAATATGACTCTGTTTTTAATAGCATTTAGAGCATTCATAATGGTGTATCAAAACAACATTATCAAAGTAATAATTTTACATATTATAATAGTAAAATATTAAAATTACAGTAATGTCACCATAATGGTGAAATGTCATCTTAATCAACTCTCTCTTTTTTTGGGTGGTGTTTAGATGGAATTTTTGGGTGATTTTTTTTGTTGTTTTTTTCCGTCTCTTGTAATCGTTTTAAAATTATTTCTGAAAAACAGATTATATATTTACCTTCCATACAATTAATATAAAATTCGTATTATGCACGATTTTAAATAAATAATTAAAATTTTATTTTAAAAATATAGTAATAATTTTAAATTTTAAAAGAAATAATTGAAATCATGCGAGTAAGTTATTTTCATTTAAATTACACTAAAGTTTGAGCTACGTAGCATTATCGATGGTGAAATGTCATCTTAATCAACTCTCTCTTTTTTTGGGTGGTGTTTAGATGGAATTTTTGGGTGATTTTTTTGTTATTTTTTTCCCTCTCTTGTAATCGTTTTAAAATTATTTTTGAAAAACAGATTATATATTTACCTTCCATACAATTAATATAAAATTCGTATTATGCGCGATTTTAAATAAATAATTAAAATTTTGTTTTAAAAATATAGTAATAATTTTAAAATTTAAAAGAAATAATTGAAATCATGCGAGTAAGTTATTTTCATTTAAATTATATTAAAGTTATTTAAGTATTAACCAACATGTATGTTATCAAATGATCAATAACATATTAGAGTAAAATAAATAAATAAATTATTAAAATTACATTTAACATGAAAGATAAATACATACTCTTTTAAGTTGGATTTTTTCAAATGGTATAACAACTGAAACTTCTAATTAACAACTATATACTGAAATTCATATAAAATTGAAAGCAAATTGGATAATGAAATGAAAATTTTTTGACGCAGAGGAGCGTTGACTCTTTTTCTTCAGACATCCCAAATTGTCTTCCCAAATGCACATCAGGCTACACCTTTAAATCATTTGACTCCTCTTATTAATTACTCCCAACTTACATACGTACATCAAACTACACCTTTATATCATTTCTCTCTTATTAATCACCAATACCTTCCGTATCTCACTTTTTTAATCTCATTGCCTTGGTGGTGCTACCCGCACTATTAATTAGTATATCAATATTAGTTATACTATTATTATTATTTTATTTATTATATAAATTATAAATATAAAAAATTTCTTAAATTATATTATATCATCAATTGATACACTAATCAGTACATTAATTAGTGTATATAGCATTATTCTATTTCCCTAGCTACTCTTACAATTTCTAACCTTACATTTAATCTCTAATTGAACTTTTCAAGAATTCGTACCTAACATATTTACTATTTTTTTTTTTTTTTGATAACTGAGTGTCTGGGCCAGCACCCCTTCGGAGTGTCGCACCTCGACTAATCTCGGAGTCCTGAACTTATCGACCGGGCAAAGACACAGTGGCCCGCCAGTAGCTAGCTGGGGGTGGGATTCGAACCTGAGACTAGGGGTGGGCAACGGTTTATCTAAACTGTTCAAACCGCCCAACCCGCATATAAATGGGCGGTTTCGCAAACATAATGCGGGCGGATGCAGTTTGAAATATGACAAATTTACGGGTTGCGGGTTTAACCCGCAACTCGCAAAAACCGCATGCACTTTAATTATTATTATTATTTTTTATATACCAACTTTGTAACTTTAATAGGAGTACCATTATGTTCTCTATGACACTATGATCCTTATTTTTAAGTATTTCTCAACTTTCTTAATGCCGTAGAATTATCAAGTCCTAAACTTGGTTTTTTATATGATTTTATATTCTCTATGACACTAAGATCCTTATTTTTAAGTATTTCTCAATTTTCTTAATGCCGTAGAATTATCAAGTACTAAACTTAGTTTCTTATATGATTTTCATTGGTGATTCATCAACTTTTTCCTAAAAATTTTTTCCTTCTGGTGGTCGATGAAACTTCTAGTTTGATTATTGATTAATGAACTGACAATTGTAATTGAGTACAACCTTTAATGCATTGATATACATTTTTTTCATGGCAAAAATGCTAGTGTAGGGTCTCTTTGTTTTGGGTAGTTTCATTTAATGCATTGATATTCAACTTTTATTTGTAAACTCATTAGAAAATTTTTATCACAAATATATAAAATGAATCTGATGCCTAAATTTGATGGGAAAAAAAACTCAAAAATTAATTTTTTTTAAAAAAAAGTGTAAACTGCAAACTGCCCACAACCGCCCGCACATTTGAAAACCCTATCCGCACAAAGCGCAAACCGCACTGCGGGCGGTTACGGGTTGACTTTTTCTCAAACCGCATAGATGCGGGCGGGTCAAAACCGAACCACAAACCACACAAAATCGATCCGCGAACACCCCTACCTGAGACCTAGTGAGGAGCATACTCCTAGGTCCCTGGTCCCTTACCCTCGACCAACTGAGCTACCCATGCGTGTTACCATGTTTACTAATATCTATTCGTGTTAACTAAATTAATCCGTTATATATAATTGAATCGAATGTTTATCTTGAAATGAGATTTATGTAATTTATAAAATAATATGGAATTGTTGAACATATGGTGTAAGGTTAAAATTAGGTCAACTATTAAAAATTTGAGGAAAAATCTCAAATCAATTGGGAAAAGGACAATAAAAAATAAAAATCATTTTCATGAGGTGCAAGTTTTTCTTATATTTGATACAAGTCATTTTCTATGTTTGATGCAAATCTTCTTTCACCTATAAACAAAATATTGAAATGTATAGTGCAATTCTTTTTAGTCTGTCCCATTAATACGTAATTCTCTTAGGCCCCATTTGTTTTAGGCTACAGGGAGGGTATTGAGACTAGTAATACCAAGGGAGTAATGCTAGAGACCCCAAATATTCTACCAAAAGTTTTACAAAATATCTCACATGAATGTGGGTCCCACACCCATGTGAGACATTTGGTAAAACTTTTGGTAGAATTTTTGGGGCCTCTAGCATTTTTGATACCAAGATATTACTAATGCCCTTGTTTGTTTGCACAGATAGCCTTAGGACTATTAGTCCCTTGGTATTACTAATACCCTTAGGGCATGTTTGATTGGAAGGATTAAAGCATGGGATTGGGATTATTAATCCGTGGGCCCAATCATCCTATGTTTGTTTTGACATTTTGGTTTAGGACTATTAATCCAATGGATAATTAATCCAACAAATTTGTAGGATTATTAGTAATGGGGTAGGGGTGGGATAGTTAATACCACACTAATTTGATAGGATTATTAATACCTCACTATTAGTATTGTGAATCAAACATGGCCTTAGAGCATGTTTGTTTCCATGTATGCATATTTTCTTGTTGAGGGACTCTTTAGTTTTAATTCTTGTTCTTTCATACTTTTCACCAATCAACCGGAGCATTGCATTACACACACCAGTGTTTTCAAGTAAAAAAACTTTTTGTATATATATATATAAGCAATCATAAAGGAACTTAGCAAACTAGACTAATGTACTCTCTGCTAGATGGCTGCACCAAGTTTGTTTATGCTGCCTCTGCCCTTCATGGCAAAGCTTTAGGCTTTAGCTTTGAGTGAAGCTTCACTAGATGGCTCAAGTTGTCTGTATTTGTTAAAGGAGAGAGAGTTCATCTTCAGGATATGACATTCATAAATGCAGATATTAGGAGTTTGAGAGATTACCTTCATCTTGTTGCACAAAAATGAAGGCAATCTAACCATGCCGTTCATTTTAGTAGCAGCTGCTAAATCCAAAACTGTTTGCCCTCAGAAGCTTCAGTATCTCTGCGGATTACTTGCAATTCCCCTGTTGCCCTCTGAGTTATTCTTTCATCATTGCATTCTTGAAATCATTCTTGGGCTTGAGAATAATTTGGTGTTACTAATTATTGTCAAGTTTTGTAGTTGAAGAACTAGAAAACCATTGGTGTTTGGCAAGTTGGGTTGGGGCTAAAATAGTCACAAAAGACAAAACAGGCTATTTTAGCCACAACAAACAAAACATCACATTCAACCCATAATCATTACACTCTTCTCTCACAAAAAAAAATCAAAAAAGCCAAAAAGCCAAAAAGTCCTTCCCAAACCAAACTTTTTAGCCCAGGCTAAAATAGCCAAAAAAGCCAAAAAGCCAAAAAGCCAACCCACTTCCCAAACGGAGGCTCAATCTTTAGTATTGAACAATGAAGGCACAACTTGTTTTTATTGAGGGACTATGTGCTTTAATTGTTGTTGTTTCATACTTCTCACCAATTAACCGAAGCATTACACCAGTTTGTTTATATTGCCTCTACCCTTCATGGCAAAGCTTTAGGCTTTAGCATTGAATGAGCTCCACTTGATGGCTCAAGCTCTCTATGTATATAATTCTGTGATTGGAAGTGATTGTGGCTTCGATGTCTCTACCTCCACCCATTGATATTCAATTTTTATTTGTAAACTCATTAGAAAATTGTTATCACAAATATATAAAATGAATCTGATGCCTAAATTCGATGAAAAAAAAAACTCAAAAATTAATTTTTTTTAAAAAAAGTATAAATTGGAAACCGCCCGCAACCGCCAGCACATTTGAAAACCCTATCCGCACAAACCGTAAACCACACTGCGGGCGGTTGCGGGTTGATTTTTTTCCAAACCGCAAAGATGTGGGCGGGTCAAAACCGAACCACAAACCGCACAAAATCGATCCGCGAACACCCCTACCTGAGACCTAGTGAAGAGCATATTCCTAGGTCCCTGGTCCCTTGCCCTCAACCAACTAGGCTACCCATGGGGGTTACCATGTTTACTAATATCTATTCGTGTTAACTAAATTAATCCGTTATATATAATTGAATCGAATGTTTA